TAAGTGGTGAGCCCTTAACATGTACAAAGGAGCAATACCAAGTGGACTCAGTAAGTTGTGTGTGTGTGTGTGTGTGTGTGTGTGTGTGTGTGTGTGTGTGTGTATCAATAATAATAAAGAAGTCACGAATTTTTTAGGACAGGGGACATAGGAAGAATTGGAGGTGAAGGGGCATGAACATGATGTAAATACAGTATTCACCGGAAATTCTCAAGAAAATAAATGTTAATTTTTGAAAAGTTACCCCAAAGTGTGCAGATAGTGGGCTACTGAGTCAGGTAACAAATTTTGGTGGTAAGTAGTTAGGAAGCCATTAATATCTGATGGAAAGAAAGAAAGAATCTTTCCCCAGAACCTAAAATGTCACACTGTTTCCTCTGGAGGAGATCCCAAGAGTAAGCTAATGTTCTTTCTTGTCTAGAATAATTTTGAAGTTATCCTTTTTTAGGGTTTTCAAGCAAGCACTCCTGAGAATGCTAACATGATTGAGCCTAACATTACAGCAAGCAATAGACAGTGTTCCTTACGTCTAAAAGCTAGAACTCTAATAAGTGAGGCCTAGACAGCCTGCAGCAGGAAGTTTGGCCTGGTGGGAGAATGTGCCAGATTGGATCAGTGTGGGGTTATGTCTACCCGTTAGCCAATGAGGTTTCAATTTATGTGGATGAAAATAAAAAATTGTTAAAATTTAAAAAAGCTTAGCAATTCAAAATTATTCCCTCCAGAGAAGAAAAAAAAAAAAGCTTTTAAATAGAAGAGTCCCCATGTAGCATTTTGCATATTGTTTCCATGTGTGTTATCTAATTTGGGTTATAACTAAGCTGGTTACCAACTAGGTTCGATAATACAAAAATGGAATAAACTTTTCAATTTTAAATGAGAGTTAAGCATCTTTTTGCTTACTATTTTTTCAGTAAACATTTCAGATGCCACTATAAGAACTGTAACTTTTTACTAGACACACGGATACTCCCCAGTTTTAGAGACAATGGAAATTAAGGGAGGGTAAGTCAGTGCCCGCTGGTGTGCCTCGGCCAAGCGCAGGCTGTCCCTGAGAAGGGGCAAATTCAGTTCTGTCTTACATCCAGACGCTATCCGGCTTCTGGACCTCTCCTCTTGCCAAACACCCTCAACCAGGCTGAAAGGAACTCTCCTCCACAGTACTTCATAAACTCACTTCCTAGTTCCTACACATCCAGGACCATGTGATTCTATCCAAAAAGATGGATGAGTGTATACAGTCTCAATAGAACACTGTGGTTACTACCAATCTTCTGCTGAGGGGACTGAACCACAGTGTCCTTGGGTGGACTTAGATGCCGACTCATGAAAAACTTGCTTCTGTCATAGTTTAGCCATCGTGGGCCTCGATGGTGTGCATAGAAAGGTTTGGATTCCAGCCTGTGGAGCTACCGGTGGGATATTGGGACCCTGGTCTGTCTGTCTGTCTGTCTGTCTGTCTGTCTCTCT